GTCCTGAGTCTGGACACATGGAGGCGGATTCGTCCTTCTCTGAGGGCCTCTCTGTCCATCTGGACTCGTCCTGCAAACTGCTCACCCACAGACTCTCTCAGCTCATCACCATCATGGATGAGTTCAGTCAGGAGTGAGCTGTTGTATCCAGGTCTAATAACACCAATTATCAGCTCACAGTAGAACATCAGGACCGTCCAGGGTCTGTGAGGGTGGGTGGTGAACGTCCACTCCAGAGTGATGCTGTGGGTCTCCTCTGCCTGATAGTGTCTCTGTGTCACATTCACTCCAAACGCAGCCGCTGAGGAGACAGAGGGAAAGAGAGGAGCTCTGAGAGCTGCAACTGTCAGGGCGGGTGGATCTCAGGGGAGGACTCAGGTCAGGGTGAAAACAGGATTTATTTAACAAAAAATGCACTCAAACGGAGTGGTTGACTGACAAATTGCAAACAAAGCAGGCAAAACTATGAACAAAGTATCAAATAAAGTAAACAAGACTATGGCAAAAGTACTAAAAGTAAACAAGACTATGGCAAAAGTACTAAAAGTAAACAAGACTATGGCAAAAGTACTAAAAGTAAACAAGACTATGGCAAATGTACTAAATAAAGTAAACAGGACTATGGCAAAAGTTCTAAAAGTAAACAAGGCTATGGCAAAAGTACTAAAAGTAAAAAAGACTATGGCAAAAGTACTAAAAGTAAACAAGACTATGGAAAAGTACTAAAAGTAAACAGGACTATGGCAAAAGTACTAAAAGTAAACAGGACTATGGCAAAAGTACTAAAAGTAAACAAGACTATGGCAAAAGTACTAAAAGTAAACTAGACTAAAGTACTAAAAGTAAACAAGACTATGGCAAAAGTACTAAAAGTAAACAAGACTAAAGTCCTAAAAGTAAACAAGACTAAAGTACTAAATAAAGTAAACAAGACTATGGCAAAAGTACTAAATAAAGTAAACAAGGCTATGGCAAAAGTACTAAAAGTAAACAAGGCTATGGCAAAAGTACTAAAAGTAAACAAGGCTATGGCAAAAGTATCAAAACAAGATTGACAAGACTACGGCAAAAACAAGGCTGTGACAAAAGTGAAAAAATCTAAATCTTACGTGGTGTGGGCAAGACGAGGAACGAAAAGACAAAGACAACAAAATGACAAAAACTCCCTGACAGAGGAACAAAAACAACGAAACGAGGACTATTTGAACACATGAGGGAAGGGAACCCCAGGGGAACACAATATGTAATCAAGACATGACAACACATCAGAAATTCCCCCAGACGAGACCATAACATGGAGTCTGGACACCTGACCCCACTGATCTGCTCTGTGGGAGCAAAGACTGGACTCTGGACCTCAGGAAGGGAAGATGGAAACTGACCACAGACACATGGAGAGAGGATGAGGAGCAGCAGGGTCCAGCAGAGCGTCTTCATCCTGAGAGAGGAGACAGAGGAGA